TTCCTATCATGTTTATTTAGAGCCTTCTCTCTCCTGTGGAGACCCTGTGTTGTTGTTGTTATGTGCTGTCAAGTCAGACCCAACTCATAGTGACTCCTCCTTGGGTTTCCGAGGCAGTATCACTACAGAAGTAGATTGCCCAACCTTCCTTCCGAGGACTGGCTGGTGGTGTAGAACCTAGGGGCGTTATATACCTAGACTTCACAGTCAAGAAAAGCTTCAAATTGAGTCTCTGACATGATTTCCAAATGAGGTTAACTATATAGTCACAAGATATGCTGACTGTACTGAAAGAGGAGATGTTACCCTTTAAACCTAGTCTCATTACCAGACACGGCAACTTCTACCCATTGCCACTGAGTGGATCCTGTCTCACAGCAACCTGGTAGGACAGAGCAAAATTGTCCCATAAGGTTTGCAAGGCTGTAATCTTTATGGAAACAGACTACCACATCTTTCTCCCATGGAACAACTGTTGGCTTCCAACTGCCAACCTTTCCGGTAGCAGCCAAGCACTTAATCACCGTCCCACCAGGGCTTCTATCAACAACCTATACCAAAACCAAATGCACTGCCGTTGAGTCGGACCTGACTCATGGCAACCCCTCCTTGGGTTTCCGAGGCAGTATCATTGCAGAAGTAGATTGCCCAACTTTCCTTCTGAGGAGTGGCTGGTGGGTTTGAACCACCAGCCTTCTGGATAGCAATCAAGTGCCTTAGGCACTATGCTACTAGAGCTCTTTCAACAACCTACAGTCCCTCATAAATTAACATGTCTATAAATTCTGTCATTTCCTTGGGAATATCATATTATACATAAGAATTTTTTTTTTGTATCAGCCAGTGATTTTTAAAATACACATGTTTTTAAAAAACAACAATTTTTGGCATTTCTTTGCTTTTGAACATATAGAAAGTCTGGAAAAAATAGAAATGTCACAACATCTTATAAAACCTGAGAGGTTCTGGAGCCAGGCCTGGTTTGCTTAAGGAAGCTGACCTGTAATTAGAATCCCTTTTCTCACAATCAAAATTATCCAGTCAAGCTTGTCAGCCTGACTTTCTCTCCCCTGGGGATGAGTTTGTTCCCAAAAATCTTCTCAGTCTTTCCTACAAGTAAACTTCCCTTGTGCTGTCTGAGCAAGCCCGAGAAAGCCAAACCTGAATGAATTCCAGGGACCCGTTTAGACTAAATCTAGAGCTCAAGACTCAATACTCACTGCTGTCAAGTCAGTCCTGACTGATAGTGACCCCCTTTGGGTTTCTGAGGCGGTAGCACTATGGAAGTAGATTGCCCAACCTTCCTTCCGAGGAGTGGCTGGTGGGTTTGAACTTCCAGCCTTCTGGTTAGTAGTCAAACACCTTAGGCACTACACCATCAGAGCTCCCAAAGACGCAATAGGGGCACAGTAAATATGCCACCACCTTCAAAACCATCACCTGGATGACAGAGAAGTAATGGACCTGTGGTTTGCTACTGGTGATCCTGTTCCCTGAAGTCCACTCTGGCCTACAAGAAGTGGCCCCCTCCTCTCTCCATCTCTACTCCTTCCACTAGAGCAGCACCTGGTTACCTGTCTTATGTGCTATCCACCTACTAACCTTCCATTTGTGAAAGGGAGTTCACAGCTTTCAAAATGTTGGAGAACGATTGTCTTAGAGTATTCATCTGATTAATACTAGTATGTACTTCTTAAATCCTGGGACTAAGGCACCTTGGATGCACTAGAGTCTTTAGAGGGAATGTAGGAATCCCTGACATAGTTCAATGCTTTTGACTGCTAACCAAAAGGTAGAAGGTTTAAGTCCCTGAGGCACCTTGGAAGAAAGGCCTGGCAAAGTAGGTCCAAAAAACCAGCCATTGAAAACTCTACGAAGCACAATTGTACTTAAACACACATGTTGTTGTTGTTGTTGTTATATGCCATCGAGTCAGCCCCGACTCATAGCGACCCCTCCTTGGGTTTCCGAGGCAGTATCACTACGGAAATAGTATTGCCCACTCTTCCTTCTGAAGAGTGGCTGGTGGGTTTGAACCTCCAGCCTTCTGATTAGCAGTCAAGTGCCTTAGGCACTATGCTACCGGAGCTCCCTCAACACACATGGGTCTTCATGAGTCAGAGTTGACTCAAGGGCTACTAATTTGGTTTTGGTTTCTTTCAGAAGGGATGAGGTACAGCCCTTTATTGGGTCAGTGAGTCCACCTCTCGTTGTAGGTTCTAGTGCATGTGTTTGGCAATTGGACTCACACAATATACATTGTTCTTGGTTTTGGATCTTGTGGGCAGAAGAGAGAGGAAAAATAGTGCTGGTGATGGTAAATGGAGACTTTAGGAAACCCTCTCCCTAGCTCTGGTAGCATAGTGGCTAAAGCACTTGACTGCTAACCAGAAGGCTGGCGGTTCAAACCCACCAGCCACTCCTCGGAAGGAAGGTTGGGCAATCCTACTTCCGTAGTGATACTGCCTCAGAAACCCAAGGAGGGGTCGCTATGAGTCGGGGCCGACTCGACGGCACATAACAACAACAACAAATGGAGACTTTAGGAAACCCTCTCCCTAGCTCTGGTAGCATAGTGGCTAAAGCACTTGACTGCTAACCAGAAGGCTGGCGGTTCAAACCCACCAGCCACTCCTCAGAAGGAAGGTTGGGCAATCCTACTTCCGTAGTGATACTGCCTCAGAAACCCAAGGAGGGGTCGCTATGAGTCGGGGCCGACTCGACGGCACATAACAACAACAACAAATGGAGACTTTAGGAAACCCTCTCCCTAGCTCTGGTAGCATAGTGGCTAAAGCACTTGACTGCTAACCAGAAGGCTGGCGGTTCAAACCCACCAGCCACTCCTCAGAAGGAAGGTTGGGCAATCTACTTTCGTAGAAATACCACTTCGGAAACCTAGGAGGGGTCGCTATAAGTCAGAGCCGACTCAACAGCAGTGAGTTTTGAGTTATATATATCATATAAACATATGTCTAAGTGCCTCGGAAACCCAAGGAGGGGTCGCTATGAGTCGGGTCTGACTTGACGGCACATAACAACAACAACAACAAATCTATATGTTGTTGTTGTTTGCCGTCTAGTCGGCCCTGACTCATAGCGACCCCTCCTTGGGTTTCCGAGGCAGTATCACTACGGAAGTAGGATTGCCCAACCTTCCTTCCGAGGAGTGGCTGGTGGGTTTGAACTGCCAGCCTTCTGGTTAGTAGTCAAGTGCCTTAGCCACTATGCTACCAGAGCTCCTAACAAATACATATACACACACATAATTGCCCATGTACCAAAGAATGCTTGAGACAATTTTGTAAACTTTACCAACAACAACAACAACAACAAATTGTATTCATCAAAATATGAACTCTGTATAGCTACCAATCCTCTTCTACATAATAAAAATTCATTTAAAATTAAATTATCAATTAGTTGTGGTATTTATTTATCTCTTGTTCCTTTGCAACAACATAAACCTTGGCACTTTAAATTGAATTTTGTGCTTGTATTCAATGTTTGGAAATATAAATTACATGTTCTTTTCCTTTATGATGACTGTGAGATGGGATATAAACTATTAAAGAGTATCCTGTGCTTTTAAAACCATATCAAAATTCAACAGTCAACTTTCAATTGTTATCACAGATTTCTGGACAGTTTCTTTCCTTCTTCTTTGTGACATTATCACACTCTAGTTAACCCTTTTGTTGCTGTTACCACCTCAGTTTACTCTACAGTCGACATTGCAGCTTGGCCTCTCAGGAATTTGGAGAAAATAATTTTGCTACTCTTTCCCATTATTCCAAAATGCATGTTCCCTTGCCTGCTCCTAGGTCACTTAGCAGTCAGCAGGTAAGTGCACCTGGGAAAAGGGGCAGGCAGCTCTGCTTAGGAGAGGGCCCGACCATATGGAAAGATGCCCACAGACAGTCATTCTTGACTAGAGTGGAAAAGCTAGAGCCGCAGAGCGAGCAGCAGGACACAGAATGCCTCTGTGTGAGGGATGGTGGGTCTATTCCAGGAAGAGGGAAACCCACAAGGCAACCCTAAATAGATACATCTACTTCAAGGTGAAAGGCAGAGGTTTTTTCAGTATTTATTCATGAAGTTCCAATACACAGCTTGAGAATGTATTATATGATTAGATGGAGAAGGGCTAGAAGTAGGAAGGAAAGAATTATGTGTATTCGATTTCACTGAGTATTAAAATTAGTTTCCATTCCTTTGGGAACCAATGAAACGAATAGGAAGAGGCAGCAAAAAGTGTGCAGTGTGTGGAAATTGTACGTGTGGAATTGAAGAAAAGCATTTGGTTTAGCAAAGATAACTGAAATGAATTAAAACGTTTTCAAATTTCACTTCTGCAGGGAAAAGTAGGAAACAAAGCCTCAGTTCAAAAGGCCGGTTTTAAGGAAAGCAGGAGCAAGAGTAGCAGAGATTTCAGACTGAATACGCTCAGATTCATCTCGGTTGGGTGCTAGGAGTTTAAAGAAGAAGTTGTAATCAATGATTATTCCCTAAATAATGGTTACATAACTAATAATTTTACGTAGCTTATGTAAACTTCTGATTTAAAAAATGATGGTTATAATGTCTACTTGTTACTGTGTGCCAATAAATGAAAAAGTGTGTGTGTGTGTTTGCACAAGGGACAATCATGCCTGCCCTTTCCAAAATGAAAAAGATTTATACACTGTATTATGTAAAAACAATCCAGGGGACCTGCCATACCAGTGGTGGGTGTGTAACTCGTAGTTTCGTCACACCTAAGGTCAAAACAAGACTTCATCAATCATCTGGACGGTCAGCTCTTTGTCACTCCCTCTCATCAGGCCCCCATACCTCCATTCCTCTAATACACATACCCACAAGCACACGCACATGCACATTAGAGCGTGCACGCATGCCCCCCACACACACACACACACATGAGACTCGAGACTCGAGTGGAGATTGCAGCTTGCACCTCTAGCCGTCACCGGAGCCCGAGTTCGGCACTCTGACTTTACCTCTCGCAGCCCGGGGAGGATGCCCGTCGCTGCTGGCTGTGTTGCTGCCATCGGCCTCTGTGGCTCTCCCCTTCTGGTTCAGCAGATTGGGGCCCTCAGTGTTTTCAACAGGTACCATGGCCATGGTCCGCGCGGCACCAGCTCACCCAGACTTGCCCCACTGACAGGAGCAGTCACGTTCTCCATGGTAGCATGTTAAAGAAAAGTGTGTGTGGGGGGGAAAACTTCAGGCCAAGGCAATGGGATTTGTGACCAACTTTGTTTCTATTTCCGAAGGCTTTGCCCTTTTCGGTGACACAGGCTGTTGCTATTCCAAGCAGCCTATCACAGGCAGTGGGAGGGCCATGTCTCGAAAGGGTTGTTTTTGCATTTAGATGCAGAGTTGGAAGCAAGGGGTTAAAAGACTTGGGAAAAAGAGCTCAGACACAGCATTTGGCCATTAGCTCGGGGCAGCTATTGTGTGCCTGCACCTTTGAAAAGAGGCAGAGAAAAGAAAACTGGCAGATTTCAATGCAAGCTCAGAGAGACTGCCCCAATACTCACAGATGGTATCGGTTAATCTTGTGGAAAGAGGAACAATTTTAAAACAGACATGCCAGAAGGAAAACTGTGTCAATTTTTCAGCAAGACTGTTATTCCAAGAGTCATGACACTCGCCAGCTTAAACAAAGCATAAAACATCTTTGTTTCGACCTGATTTGGATCTAGGTAAATGCCTTGTAGCCCCTCGTTCTCCAAGGCCTATCAGGCAAGTCAAGGCCTGAGACCAAAAATATACAAACTCAGAACCCGTAGATCCTTTCGACATTATCTTGGGGTGGTGGCAAAGTAATTCCATTTATTTATGCAGAATTGTCTTCAAGAGAGGAACCAAGCCTGAATCTTTTGTCAGATTGTGTGTTTGCCTGGGTTAGAGGGTGGATTAAATGACCCACTGTGTGGTGTGATGACCATACAATCAGAAACAAATTGAGGCCGTGTCATAGGATGAGGATATTTTTTTTCTGATTTATAAATGTATTTTTATTAAAGATCTTACACAATTATGACAGTTCCCCCTCAGTTATATCGTTAACATTATATGTATTAAAAAACCTTACAGAGCAAATGTGCTCATCTTAGAAAAATCATTACGAGTGAAAACTGAATGTATGAGCAATTATTATGTGCCAGGAACTATGCTAAGGATATTAACACAAATGTTCCCTTGAGGCTGAGTAAGTTGCTTAAACAGGGCTCTGGGGGTGCAGTGGTTAAGCACTAGGCTGCTAACCCAAGATCAGCAGTTTGAATCCACTCTGTGAGGGAAAAATGTGGCAGTCTCTTTCTGTCAAGATCGACAGCCTTGGAACTATGGGGCAATTCGACTCTGTGCTATAGGGTCACCATGGGGAGAAATTGACTCAACTAGTTTTTTGGTTTCTTTAGCATGTGTAAAGTCACACAGCTGGTCAGTGTTGGAGCTGGGATTAGGAAGTCAGGTGGTGTAATGCTATAACTCTTCTGTATCCTAACTCCTAGACTTGTCCTTCTCAAATTTTCTTAGCTTCTTTCTTCCCCTTTCAGCTCTTCTTTACGCTAAGAAGACACCATGTAATATAGCTCATCCTAATGGTTTCTCTGGACAGAAAAGTGAGTTTGTACTTTTACAGGCCACAGCTGGACTATGTAGTACTTGCTTTTGGCGTTTTGTCTGGACTATGACAAAGCTCTAAATGAACTTGTGATTTATACATTTCCTGTGCTCATCACTAGATCTTTCTATAGTTTTCTATCCTGATCAAGAGGCAAATGGAAACAAAACTCAACTAACATTTATTAAGCACCTGTTGTATGTGTCCTGATAGGACTGGAGAATGGACATCTTCCAAGCATAGCTCAGCCCTGTTGGTAGGAGGTGAGAAGTTCACAGTGGAATATACCAGCTTGTCCCCATTAAGGAATGGGCCGTGCAATGGCAGTTTAGGCAGATGCTTTTATTTGCTCCCACAGTGTTGCGATCCTAAGAGCAGTTTTTATCTGTGACACAAGCACATTTCTCATCAGCTCTCCATAGTTTTTGGCTTCTATCTTCTTTCTGTTCAGAACCAATGGCCTTAGTGGAGGGAAATGTTCTTGCTTGTATAATTGCTTTTTATTTAGTGACACCAGTCCTATTTCTCCAGCAGCTTCTTGGCATTGTAAAGGTGTCAGGGGGTGTTTGCTGTAGCATTTGACTATGCAGAAGATAAATCTCAGTTGCGAATACTTTATTCTGTTAAGAGCAATTCAATAATCTCATTCTACTTTCTGTAGCCTAACCATACAGCAACTCCAAAGGCATAAACCAACAAAGAGTCAAACAAAAGAGCAAACAATGCAACTGGCAACATTACATAATTCTGTACCTCATTCCATTGTTGACCTGACATGGGCCACTGGCCATTTCAATCTCTGTATTGTGATTTTTCACTCTCTTAACTCATCCAAAGATTTAGAGAGAAAATTCTTTTCACCTAGCCTAAAGGGGATATTCTCCCTGCCTTAGTTTCCTTAAACCAACGTAGTGGGTAAGGCATATGACTGCTGACCAAGAAGGTGGGTGGCTCAAACCTACCAGCTGCTTCGTGGGAGGAAGATGAGGGAATCTACTTCTGTGAATATTTACAGCCTGGGAAACCCAATGGAGGTAGGTATGAGTTGGGTTTGGGGTTATTTATTTATTTATTTTAAGTTCTCTTAAAGAACCCTCATGGTAGAAATGTTAAGGACTTGACTGGTAACTGAAAAGTTGGCAATTCGAGTCACCAGCTACTCTGTGGGAGAAAAGACCTGGTGATCCATTCCCATAGCAATTGTAGCCTAGAAAACTCTTTGGGGGCAGTTCTACTCTGTCACATGGAGTCGCTATGAGTTGGAATTGACTCAATGGCACTTAACAACAACAAGCTCCTGTAAGAGTCCTGTGCATTTTCTTCAGAGTTTTATGCACTTATAGTTATTGTAGTTACATGTAGCAATTTGATTGAATTTGTCTTCTCTGCTAGATGGTAAACTCCATGAGAGTAGGGACCATGTCTGTTTGATTTTAATGGTCTCCCCAGTGCCTGGCACAGAGTAAATACTCACTAAATATTTGTTGGCTAGCAGACTGATACCTGCAAATCAAACCATCTTCAGCATTACTGGTATCTAAGCTCCCAAGAGGGCACATACATGTGTCTGTCTTACACCCTTGTTTGCCTTGGTACCCCAGGTCCTACCACAACACCAGGCACAATGTAGGCTTTCAATAAGTATTTGTTAAATAAATAAGTGCTGACAAATAGAGCTCTTACTAAACTGAGTAATGGTTTAGTTTCTTAGTATAAAAGCCCATATGGTGATTGCTTACAACACTTTGTCCTTCTCTCCTTTCTGCTAAGCCCCTTAGAACAAGTACCATCCCAAGCTATGGCATTTGAGCTCCTACTGTCATTAAAAGATGCTCTTTCACTCAATGAATAGATAATCAGCAGATAGCAGACAGAAAGTTCATTACTCATGCCCCCTGAATTTTGCTACATACCATTACACTGCCTGCTTGTAGGCAATGCTACCAATGTAAAAATGCATGGTACAGCAGGAAAGAGAGGATGAGAGGAAAGACAAGCAAACATCTCCTCTAAAAAAGAACAAACCCCATGAGTTGCTGGGGAGTTAATTCTGACTCATGGTGACCCCATGTGTGTCAGATCATAACTGCACTTCATAGGGCTTCCAAGGCTGTAACCTTTCTTTCACAAGCAGCTTGCCACGCCTTTCATCTGAGGTACCCCTGGTGGTTGGAACCATCAACTCATTGGTTAGTAGCTATGGTAGTTAAGGTTGTGTGTCAACTTGGCTTGGCCATGATTTTAAGTGACTTGGCAGCTGGATGTAGTTATTCCCCATGATAAGATTGAACATGGTGTAATCACTTCCATGTGGAGTCTGCTGTAAGTAGCTAATTAGTTGAAGGGAAGTTGCCTTCAGTGTGTGGCTTGCATCCCGTACATATAGAGAAGCTTTGGGAAAGGTCTTTAGCTTTTTGCTTATTTTGGATCCTTCATTTGGCTTGATATCATCTCCAGTTCCTACACTTGAACCAGTGGCCTACTGCATTGCCTGCTGGTCTTGGGATTGTTGCCTTCACAGCTTGTGAGCTAACAATCTGCCATCTTATCTGCCAGTCTTGGATTGGTCAGCCTTAGAAGCCAACAGCCTACTGTACTGCCTGCCCATCTTGAGTTCATCAGTCCCTGTAATTGTATAAGTCAGGAGAAGCCTCCAGCTGCTCCAGTGGGCCAGGACTACAGAGCTGAAGCCCAAAGTCATGGTGCCTCCACCAAGCCCTTAGAGCCAGGACTCTGAACTTGGACTTCTTGCCTCCTAAGTTGTAGAGAATAAATTTCTGTTTGTTAAAGCCGGCCACTTGGGGTATTTCTGTTAATAGCAGCACTAGAGAAATCAAACAGTATCACAGGGGTTTACCATACATCACTCAGAATTCCAAACATCTACTATACACTATAATGATTTTTTAAAATCTGAACTTTGTGAACACTATTATCTCCATTTTATTAAAATTTAAACTGAGAAGCTTATGAAACATACTCAGATTTTTAAAAAAATTTCTAATATTTTATTATGAAAACTTTCAGTAATACAGAAAACCTAGATTCTACAACCAACATTTTACTATAGTTCTCTCTCACCTATCCATCTATGTACCAGTACCCCTAGCCATCCATTAATCTATTTAGTTTTTACACATTTCAAAATAAGTGGCATGCATATCATCAACTAAAGTTCAATATTTATTTATGCCCTTTCTTCTCTGAGGCAAAATTTACATACAATGAAATGCACAAATCCTATGTGTACCATCTGGATAAATTCAGAAAAATACATTCTGAAGTACAACTCAAATCATTATTCAGTTATAGCCCATGAGTTTCATTGCAGAAAACTCCTCCATGTCTCTTCTGAGGAAACTCCCACTCCAATTCCTAGAGGCAACCAACGTTTGGAGTTTTTCCTCACAGATCATCTTTGTCTGCTCTAGGTCTTCATATAATGGAACCACAGAGTATGTACTGCGGTGTAAGACCTCTTCCA